GCTTTCTCTTCAGTAAGAGAAATCAATATTTATAGAATATTCTATACAGCCTGTGGTTTCTTTGATTTTGACAAATTATCTGATTCATGGGCCTTGTTATACCCTATACCAGAGGTGTCCAGGTTTTTTCTGCAGTGAACTACTTCATCAGCAATGTTTGTGTGCATGGCCCAAACTCATTTTTCACTGATAGAAAATATTGCTTTTTAGCATTTTTAGTATTAACATGTAATGCATGTTAATACCGGGTTAATCCTGGTGCACGAAAAAAAGGTATAAACAATATACCAGCAAGTGGAGCGCTATATTGAATATATATATAAATAATGAGGGGGTATACTCACCCCTCCAACATAGTGATACAATGTGTCCAAATGTACATACAAAGTAAAACAACAAAGAGAGAGAATATAGTGCAGATGGTTTACAAAAAATAAAATAAAAAATAAAAAATAAAAAATAAAAAATGAATAATGGTAGCAATTGGTTGAAACCACTCACGTGGGTTGGAGCCTATAAGCTATTGGCTCCGTAAGTGACTCCTTCTTGCTCTTGAGGCAGCAACACACCCCTTTATCCCAAACGATATTCTCCCGAAGATATGGAACAAACAGAGAGAGAGAGCCTCATAGGTGGTATTGTACAGATGGTGTATACAATATAGTGAGATAGTAATAGATATGCTCACCTTAGACAGAGCCTTGAATTCCTGGCTCTGAGGTTTGTTGGCAATGTGCTAATTTATTGGGATAGCATTCCCCACATGGTGTTCCTGGAGGCTAGAAAGGACTATATGGACTAATATATAAAAAAATAACAATTTATTGTAGAGATAAAAAATAATAATAAAAACAATATTTAGACTTCTCAAAAGCACATAAGCTAAATGATGGAAAGTCCAAGTATAAAAGTCCAAACTCCAGCTAAACGCGTTTCACTCTTGTATGAGCTTCCTCAGTAGCTGTGAAGTAGCCTTTTTTATTAACAATGACATTTGGGAAGATGTTGGAGGGCGGAAGTGATGTCACTTCCGCCAACCACTGCCCTGAATGGGTGCTATACATGACAGCCCCATCCAATCACCAATAGAATTTGTTCTAATCAAGTTTTGTAATTGATTGACAGGCAATTCAGCCAATGAAAGCCTTTTTACCACAGGTGATCAGTTTATAAAAAAATTTTGAGAAAGACAGCCCTATTCAACCACCAATAGAATAAGTTTTTTAACTGATTGACAGGCAATTCAGCCAATGCAAGCTTTTTTACCACAGGTGATCAATATAGGAAATTTGAAAAATACAGCACCATCCAACCACCAATAATAATCAAGCTTTTTGATTGATTGACAGGCAATTTAGCCAATGTAAGCTTTTTTACTACAGGTGATCAATATAAGAAATTTGAAAGAGACTCTGACCTTATGATTGGATAATCACACATCCTGTGACCTCAAAGGGAGGATCCGAATCAACTTTAGAGCACTTATAAAGTGGAAGATTCCTGAGGCTACTTCACAGCTACTGAGGAAGCTCATACAAGAGTGAAACGCGTTTAGCTGGAGTTTGGACTTTTATACTTGGACTTTCCATCATTTAGCTTATGTGCTTTTGAGAAGTCTAAATATTGTTTTTATTATTATTTTTTATCTCTACAATAAATTGTTATTTTTTTATATATTAGTCCATATAGTCCTTTCTAGCCTCCAGGAACACCATGTGGGGAATGCTATCCCAATAAATTAGCACATTGCCAACAAACCTCAGAGCCAGGAATTCAAGGCTCTGTCTAAGGTGAGCATATCTATTACTATCTCACTATATTGTATACACCATCTGTACAATACCACCTATGAGGCTCTCTCTCTCTGTTTGTTCCATATCTTCGGGAGAATATCGTTTGGGATAAAGGGGTGTGTTGCTGCCTCAAGAGCAAGAAGGAGTCACTTACGGAGCCAATAGCTTATAGGCTCCAACCCACGTGAGTGGTTTCAACCAATTGCTACCATTATTCATTTTTTATTTTTTATTTATTTTATTTTTTGTAAACCATCTGCACTATATTCTCTCTCTTTGTTGTTTTACTTTGTATGTACATTTGGACACATTGTATCACTATGTTGGAGGGGTGAGTATACCCCCTCATTATTTATATATATATTCAATATAGCGCTCCACTTGCTGGTATATTGTTTATACCTTTTTTTTTCTTGTATTTTGCATTTTCTTGTATTTTGCACTTTATTGTGGATTAAGGTATTCCACTTTTTGTGTTGAGCTGCTTTTATTCAGGCACTTTAGTATATCACTCACTATCTCAGTAAGGGATAGTTTTTGTTTTCTTTGTGTAATCCTTTGCCCCCCAACTCCTTTTGTGTATCTCTTTCTCCCCTTCCACACCCCCTGTCTGTCTCTTCTTCTTTTTTTTTTTGTCAATCGTTGTTTTATTGAAGCAGAATGAGTGCATTACAGAAGGAAAGCAAAAGAGATATCTCAGCAAAAATGTGACAAAAATGCATTATACAATGACAGCGATACATTCTTTCATGAGTGACTGCTTTATTTTATGTATTAAGGTTAAGTGAAATAACATGTTCTAGTTATGTTCAAGCATGGGCAAGTCAATCTAGGAGGACAAATATGTCAGCAATGTAGCAAACATATGTGTTAGGGATTCAAAGTGTCTAGGCTGACGTAATGCTTGTTGTCAATATGCCTGTGTGTGTGGCAGGAACATGCTAGACGTTGAACAAAAGACAGGCATCTACATACAGGTGGTCCTCGTTTTGCGACCAACCTGTTTTACGACTGCTCACACTTACGACCAGGAGTTAGTGTGAGCCGTCGTGGGGATTCCCTGCTCTGGTGCGTTCGTCTTTGTTCAGGGAAACTTCCAGGGAAATTTCCTCGAACATAGATTTGAGGGATTCCCTGCTACGGTGAGCAGGGCTGGTAGAAGAATTTTTAGGTACAGAGGCAGAGATGCATTTTGCCGCCCCATCACCCTCTTAATGTATACAGAGGCGCCACTAACAAACACAAATGTTATTGCTTTGGTACTTTTTGATTCAATAGTGTGAGCTGTATTGCTTTGGACTGGGTTTTCCTCATTTACCTTGATCCTGGGCATTAAAATTTACAGTATTGTCTGTTGTGAATGAGTTAATCACAGAGATCCACAGCAAAAAAAAACCCCCAAAAAACAGAAACACCTTTTTTGAGTGTATCACAAATCAGTAATGTGCATAGTAGATTATTACAGAGTTCCACACCACACCTATAAAATGAATGTGCATTTTGTATAACACTATCACAGAGCTTCACTATAAAACCTCACAATAATGTGATGTAATGTGT